GGGGAGCACAGCTTGTGAGCTCTTCAGTATGGCCAAACAAGCATGGGGTTCAGATTCCCACGACATGGGTTGGGATCTTGATCCGCCATCTTCCCGATGGATTACCTTGAGTCACCTAACCTTTCTGGGTTTGGTTTGCTGTGAAATGGGATAGGCCCTCACGCCCCACACAACTTTAATGAAATTTGAACGAGATGATCAGTATAAAGGGTCCTGGTAAATTCACTACTATGCCGTCGATCAAACATTCTGGTTAGTACAAGGTTAAGTGTTACTGTGGGAAGGGAAAATAAAAGTAGATTTGTGGTTAAGTAGAGAAAGCTGCTCAAGAGCTTTGGGGGGAACCTTTTTCCCAAGAGTCGGAGAGAAGTTAGGAGGGGCTTCCTGGGCCAGAGAGATGGCTCAGTGGCGAAGAGCATAGGCTGATCTCCCAGCAGCTCTGGGACCAGCACTCCCCACAGTGCTTCATAACCACCTGTAAGTCCAGTTCTAGGGAGGCCAATGCTCTGTCTGGGGCTCCGTGGGCACTGCACTCATGTAGTGCCCTTATATACATGCCGGCAAAATACTCAGACACAAAAATAGATAAATAAACACATTAAAAAGAGAAAGTTGGTTTTTAGTTTTCAGAACTTTTGAAGTAGGTACAACCTGAGTAAATTTGATCTCTTAGAATGCGCTGAATCTTTCCAGGTCCATGTTATTATTATTAAAATTTTGTTTTGTTTTGTTTTTGAAGACACAATTTGAGTTTGTTCCAAGGCTAACTCACCATTGCCCTATTCCTAACCTCTACATCCTGGAGCTGCAGGCATGCGCGCCCGCCCATTTTAGCCCCACTTTGAAACCAGAATGTCCCACCCATGGCAATTCCAGAGAATGCTGTCTGTAAATTGTGGTGCTCACCTGCTCTCTCTACATGTTTAATATTTTGATATTAACCATTTTAATATTTGCCAGTAAAAGTCCCTTCCCTTCCTGGCCATACTCTTGGCTAATAAAAATATAAACTTTTTGACATGGTATTTAAGGTCCTCAGAATCCCACACTAACCTTCCATCCAGACTTTGCCTCTTCCCTATTGACTGCTGCACAGCCTATAGTTCCAAACATCCAGTCATTATATAAGGCATTTGGCAGTCTTTCTAATACCTCAGTGTCAGACAGAACGAGGATTCTCTGTGATTACTGCTTGTTCTTGGATCTATCCCTTTATTGGTATGTTGGAGCAGAAGCTACTGGATACATTGAGAATCGAGTAGGGAGAAAGATGTATCGAGCCAAAAGCCAAATCACCCTCCAGCTTTCATAGACCTGAACTTGGCATACCACTCCCATCACATCTTTCATGGCACTGTTGCCTTGCGTGTCCCCCTCACTAGCTGCATCCCCCCAAGGTAAGAATGGTACCTGATCTACGCCCAGTTAGAGAACACTGGTGGTCCTACCTTCACGTAGTCATATTCACAAAGATAGGAGGATTCCAAGTTGAAGTGCATAAAGTAAAGCTTGATCCGGAACCCCTCCGGGACAGTAATATTCCAAGTCACTTCGGAGTCACTTGGATAGGAATCTGGATAGCCAGGGGACTGGATCTGGCCAAACATTTCATTTAGCTCCACGGTATGGGCAGAAACCTCCAACAGGGCAAGGCACAGTCCATGGTAGAGAAGGAGCAACCTGAAAGACATGAGTGAGGTTTGCCTTACATCAGTGATTACAGGTCCCCCAAGCTAAATAGCTGCGCTTACTGCTTTTCTCCTTGGGGGTCTTGCTTACCAGGTCTGCAGGACATTTGGAGAAAGTAACTAGACAATTTCTAAGATGGTTTTAGCTTTGGTCTTTAGTAAATCTGGTATGCATACTCAAGTTTTCTATAAAGTAGTACATTTGGGACCCTGGTCCATGTTCACCTACTCTTGGGAACATAACTACTATAATTAAATGATCATTGGTATTGCTTCTTCAATTGTACCTCATTTAGAAGCCATAAATTATGTAGTTTTAAATATACAAGTAATAATAGCTAATATTGCGATAAAACCCAAACTTAGTAGGGGAATCTACAGACACGGAACACACTTACTATTCTGAAAGAGATTGTTTATCACATACCAGTCAAACTATAAAAAAAATCTTGATAAAGATAGAATGAACAAAATAAGTCTTGGTGACTTGGTTCTGTGGGAATTGAAAGTTTCTAATTCATTTCTGGAAATGAAAGTAATGGGCTGCTAAGAAAGGGGGTAGGGACAACACGGTATCAAACATGGATGACGCAATACCGAAGCGGGGTAACTAAGGCTGATCATAGTCCTAATGGTCAGATCACGGTGTAGCGCTTTCCCAGCAAGACCCAAGGACCTTGAACTCAAACATCGCAAGCATGACTCCTTAGCTACGCTCCTAATAGGTTCCTGGACTCACTTCTGATATTGTTGTCTGCACATGCACATGCATACGCACATACATACACCCGAGTGTGTTTGTGTGTGTGTGTGCGCGCGTGTGTGTGTGTGTGCACGAGTGTGCACGCATGTGTGCATGAGTGTGGAGGCTAGAAATAAACCTCAGGTGTTATTCCTCTGGAGCCATCAACCTTGCTTTTGGAGACAGCATCTCTCACTGGGACTTGGGGCTAGCTGATTAGGTTAGGCTGGCTAGCCAATGAGATTCAGGGATCTTCTCGTCTTTGCCTCCCCAGGTCTGGAATTACAGGCTAGTGTCCAGGCCTTTTGTCACCGTCACCAGGGCTGAGAGCACAGGTTCAGCTGTGCCTGACTTGGAAGAGCAGCTTCAACTCCAGGCCCTGACTTTACTTCTCCTGCTCACTTCAGGGAAGTGTTGGGAGAGTTCCCCATCTAGTTCATCTCATATATGACAATAATGATGACTTCCCACAGGGTTGCTCTGCTCAGGAGCACTGGGATAAGCTTTAATATCAAGCCCTAGGTAAAGGCTTGCTCTGATGGCCCATCATGCCACTTCCTGACAGTAGAAGCTTTGGCTCCCAGCCCTGACTTCCCTGCAATAGTGACAACTGGATTACACAAGGCTGAAAGGTTGCTTTTATCCACATCTTCCCCTCTCCACCCCCCTCCCGAGAACACACAGAGGAGAAAGCTTCCTCAGGCCAGTTCTGCTGAGGCTGGCAGTTGACCGAACCCTCAGCCCAGGCCCCAGGGCTGTATGTGGTGAGTGTGCACGAAGGGTCTGTCAGACTAAGACACATGAAGCCGCTGTCTCCATTCATGTAAGAGGCTGAAGCATATGCTTGCTTGCTTGCCTGCCTTAGGGGCTGTGAATCAAAGGATATGCGTGGCAGCTCTCGTTTCTCGTCACACTCGTGTTTTGGCTTCGTAGGCACCAGGCACCGGCTGTACAATTCCTGACACCTGTTATCTATCCTCCAGTTGATCAAAAAGTTGGGTTACATTTGCTTAAAATGTCAAAAAGTGATACAGAGAGCCGGGATGTACTAGTCTCTGTGGGGAGAGCGGGCTAGCGGGGCTGTATAAGGAAGTTGCGTGTGTCAGATGGCGGGATGAGTGGCATGTCTGAGCGCCTCCATTCACTCCTCTATTCAGTGTACACACCACCAACACTCCATTTCTACGATCCAGGGTTGGGAGAGACAACACTGCTCCTTTACCCAACACCCTCACTTGACAGACGATGAAAAGTATACCCTAAGAGATGGCACATCATGCCAAATACCATATGGCGAATTAACTTCAACAGCAGAAAAGAATAACAAAAGCTCACAGAAGAAGTTGGGACCCATGCCCGTATCATGCCCAGGCATCTGGCCAAAGCAATTAATCCTGTGAAAAATAATTTAAAAAACCCATAGCTTTATGTGAAATTTTTTTTTAAAGAAATTACTAATGTTTGAACCGTCCCCCACTGCCTCCCTATGCTTGAAATTCTGTTCTACTGCCTAGGGACTGGCATTCCTAAAGTACCATAGACCATTGTAATCTGCAGCTGGGATCGAGAGCCCGGTAGGATACAGCAGGAAAATGCTTGGAGCCCAAAGACACAAGAATGAGTTTGGGCCTTTTTCAAGATCATCAGCGTAGCTCTGGGCAAGTTGCTTAACTGCTTTTATCTTATGTATCCATTAATCCTTATGTCACACAAAATCTGAAGCCAGGGGATGAGACAATGCTCGTGAAAGTCTCCTGCAAACTCTGAAGAGTCGTATGCTTGTGAGTCCAGACCCTGCAGAGTGAGCCAGGAGAATGGTGCCCTGGCACGTCTTTTTGATATTCAGTTATTGAATTCAACTCAAGCACATCTATTGGATTTCTACTAGGAAAGGGGCATTCTGTTAGGTGCTGGTCACATGACCATGCAGACAGTCTACAAAGATGAAGACATTGATCGCATCTCTTGGAAGGGGAAGTGGACATTTAAATAAGCAGCCATTCCAGAGATGGTAAGAGATACAGCCAGAGATGCGAACAAAGGAAGAGGGGCCATGTCTGGGGTTGGAGGTGGGTGGAGATTAGGACCCAGGAAGCACTGGCGAGCCTGTCCAGTCCAGTCTAGGTGGGAAATGAGTGAGAGTTGTTCTAACTCCAGGTCAAGCCTAGGCAAGGGCGTGCTTTGAAACGGCTGAGATACAGGTAAAGCAGATTATTATCCAGAATACAAAGGGAGAAAAGCCATTGTTTTAGAAGAAAGGAAAATGAATTTTTCTGGCAGGTTAAAAAATGACTTTACAAAGGTCAGGTCGATGAAATGAACTTTTAGAGATTGCTCTTCCTCTGAGCCATAGGTACATAGAATTCAAAGTCACGGAGACTGAAACCCCTTATTGGCCCTGGACTCAGTAAAGGTGCTAGGTGAGCGAAGAAGAGAAACACAGAAACTGCCAATTGAAAAGGAAAGTGATGAGGGAAATAGGCAGGAGGGGACTTGACACACCCACCAAGCGGTTTTTCTTGCTCCCTTTAGATGTTTGACACTTTGACACTTACAAGTGATAAAAAAAAATAATTACAATAGTTGGGGCTTCAGACTCTGGGAAAGCTCATAAGAAATGCCTGGCGAGGAACCTCAAGCAATACAAGAAGCAAGAAAGGTTGAAGAGTTTCAAGCCTGTTAGAATTTAAAGTGGTAGGTTTCAGAATTCCAAACGCTCCTTTGAAAAACTGTGGTGTCTCTTTAAGAGCCATTTGGTGCATTTCATAGCCTGATTCATGTCACCAGCTGCCCCTGATTTCAGTGAGAAATGAAGAATTTATAGGGAACTGTAAAATGGGGACAGGTTTTTAGTTTTCTAAATTGAGGTTTAATGGGCAAACTTCGGAAGGCTCAAGAAACCCCTGAGCCTAGCCGTGGGGAACTGGTTTCTTTTCTGTTTAGAAGAAATAAACACACAAACACATTATCTAACTCTCAAAGTGTTGCGAGAAAGAAAGCATTGCTCTATGCTGAGTAGGAAAATGAAGAATAAGCCTTGTGGGCAAGAGGAGGAGGAGGAGGATCACATTGGCCAGTAGGCAGCACCCTGTACTGGCAGAGGGAGAAATCTGAGCCTCAGCCGCGCTGCGCCACGATCCGGCTTTGTACAAACTATCTGGTTTCAAGTTGCAAGACTCCGGGAGTCTCTGGGAAGGTGCCCCAGAGACAGGGCGCCCTTTGCGGGGACCCTGAGGATTGGTGAGAATCCCCCATCCCCAGCCACCCAGAGGGCAAGCAGGTGAGTCTGCCTAGAGACAAGGTCAAACCCAGAGGGCTGCTCTACACTTGGTCTTAGAGAGGGAACCTCACTCACCTCATTTTCCTGCCTTGTCTGCTCCTGGCCTTGGTCCCGTCTGCTGGACTTGTCTGTGAGTCTGTCCCAGTCCCCGGTGTGGTGTTAACGATGCCTTATCTTTGTTCTGAGGTCCCTGTTTGTCTCTGGAATTGGCTGGCATTCTCCATTCAGGTCACGCCTTCCCCTGCCTGCAACAGATCCCCTCTCCCCCTCTCCCTCTGGCTCTCCCTCTCCTCTCTCTGACTGAGCTTCTGCACATGCAGAGGGACCTGACAGAACTGTTTCCTTGGGAGATCTGCTGGCCAGTCCCCTCCTTGGGAGGGACTGCAGCCCTTGAGGAGAAAAAAAAATCTGAGAGACTCAGAGGTGTGTGTGTGTGTGTGTGTAAGAGTGTGTGTGTGTGTGTGTGTGTGTGTGTGGTGGGTGTGTGAGTGTGTGGTGGGTGTGTGAGTGTGTGGTGGGTGTGTGTGTGTGTGTGTGTGTGAGAGAGAGAGAGAGAGAGAGAGAGAGAGAGAGAGAGAGGTTAATTTCTCTTCTTTAGCCTCCCTTGCTGTTGGCTATAATAGTTCTACTTCAGGACCCCAGCAAAAGAACAATTAAACAGAAACAGCCAACTCAAAAGGCAGTTCTAGGAGATTATAAAAAAAAAAATAAAAATAATGCAGATCCCAAGCCTCGGACTGTTTGTGGACATCTGCAGGTTTTCCTCAGAACTGAGCACTTGGCCCGGTCTGAGGGAGCACCAGTTTCTGCTCCTGGCTACTTTCTCTTCCCCACTTGACTTTGTGGTACAGTTTAACTGCGGGTGTGTAGAGGTCTAACCTACCCATTTGGGAAAGGGCTTCAGCATAGACAGAGAACCAGGTGACCTGTGGGTATTGAAAGACCTGTGTCTGTGAAAAGTTAGTGTCCTAGGTCTGTGGAGAAACAGTGTAGAGGCCCCATGCCAAGCCAAGTAGTAAGGGGGACTCTCTCTGCATGGAAGTCTCTCTATAGTTAACCCCTAAACTATAACTCCTACCACAGAGTGACCTCTGCACTCTGACCTTTCTGTGTGACATAACCCCCTCCACACCAATAATCCCCTCCACAAAATGGCAGCAACGCTGAAGAGAGAGTCGAAGCGGGACTCCCTGAGCATGGTTTCTGTGCCAGGCACTAACGCTAGCCAGATCACTTTCACAAGCTTCTGAGGGTCTCTGTGCTCCAACTTTACAGGTGAAGGAGTGGTGACTTGCCAAGATTATACAACTGGCCTTGACCTCAGATACCCATTATCACTCCCGAGGGTACCACCTCTGCAAGCCAGCTGTTACTCAGAACAGGCACTGTGCTAGGCACGTTTCACACTCATCCCTTCAAGCACCTTTGTTCAGGTCAGTGGTGGCATTGTCTCCACTTTCCAACGAGGGTACTACCCGGAGAAGTTGGTCACATAGCTCGAAAGGGAGGACGAATTCCTTCTCTTACCCGTTCTATGACCCTGGCTCTCTGTAGGATACTCTAAGCCATGTGGCCTTTGTGTAATGCACACACCCACGAGAGAAGATGCTCAATTTTGAGTCATTTGAGAAGCGCTTTAGACACCAGTCCAGAACTTAGCTGTGATCTGTCTTTCCCATCCACCCTGACGGACCACTTGGGGTATCACACCATTTCTGATCAAGTGAAATTGTGATGGTGGCAGGTGCCCTCAGTCATCCAAGGTGACAAACACACATTTCCCGCCCCCTAGACAGCACTCCTTGGACATATTTGGGGGAGCAATGACGACGACGTTCCCTATAATTAATTCTTGCCCGTTTTCTCTCCAGTTTCTCTATTTTTAGCTCTTGTGTGCTTGGCATGGTGGCTACAGGGCTGCGGTTGATAATGCAGGTGCAAGACGGGGCGGCGGGGGGGGGGGGGAGTCTGGACTCAGGCATTGTCTGAGAGAAGTGTTCACTGTCTCAGGCCAGATAAAAAGAAAAGTCTGTAAATTTCCCATTAAGCAGACTGTCAGGCTCTTTAGACATCAAATAACTCTCACAAAACAACATTTTAATGATTTAAGTATAAACGAATCAGAAACACATGGGTTGCATTTCTTTTGGAATACACAAGGGTTTTCAAACCAAAGGAGAAAGAACTTGGCAAGCCATACACAGCGCACAGCGGCCTTGCCCGGGAGAGGAGTCTCGCAGTTTTCCCTGCAGCCTAGCCCGCCCTCCCTGGATTCAGCATACAGGCTAGCGAAGGCGGTTATTCTGGATCTGGGCACGGAGCAAAGGGCTTGGGAGGGAGAGCCATAAGCTGTCCCTTGTAAAGTGTCACATAGAGCAATTAGGCCTCCGGGAATAGCTTCCTGCCCGTGCTTTTTTAAGGCTGCCAGTGATCAATGGGAGACGTTTGAAGGATATTCTGAGCTGAAGTCCTGGCACCGTGAGGCAGATCTGGTATGCGCCTTCTCCAGGAGTCAGCCAAGGCTCAGCAGGGGCTGCGGGAGTGGAGGCACTCACTGAGGTGCAGGGAAGGCTCAAGGTGTGACTCACACCTCCCGAAGACTCCTTGAGCTGTCCTCATGGGATCTGGGTGTGGGAGGATGCCCACACTGCTCTGGGGTTCAGAGAACGGGGTTACCGTTCGGTAGCCCCAGTTCTTGGGGCCTCAGACAAATCACCTGCTTTCTTAGGGATGGCATCTCTTCGAGTGTGAGCGCACGGAGCATGACATGGGCCTGAAGAGAGGCACTGATGGTGGGCTGATTGTCTGGGCAGAGACGGGCCAGAGCAGCCCTCACAACAGCGCTGCTTGCTGCATCTGTGGTTTGGACAGTGTCTCCACTCATTACCCAGAACCCTATCACAGATATTAAGAAAAATCATGTTTGGAAAGATTCAATTAGTATCCTTAAAAGTTTAACAAGGGTGGCTTAAAATGTACGCAAGGAACCGAAAGCTCTTCAGTTCTGAGCAAAGAAACGGGGGCCAGAGGGGTGGGCTCAGAGCCCTCTCATTACAGTCAGGAAACCCGATCAGGAAGGCAGCTTCTAAGGGGATGAGTCCTACAACATTCCTCCTCTGGAGCACAGGGGTTTACATTTTCTACCCAAGTATTTATTTTGTAGCGGCCGAGTGGAAGTTTCTGGAACTCTACCAATGTGTCAGAAAATGTAAAGAATTTGGTCAATGGACTTTTCTTCTGGGGGTGGTGGTGGTACGGAGGGGGGACGACAGGGGACGGGTGGGGGGAAGAGGGGGAGGGTACAAAGCCTGTAATCCAGGCTTCCTGCTCAATATCTGAAAAACGAACCAAGAACTGCAGAGTGCAGTTTGGAATTAGAGCGTGGAAGGAGCTGTGACGGAGCCTAGCTGCAATCCCCGTCCTCAGGAGAGAGGCAGGAGGACAGCGAGTTCAATGCTACTCTAGGCTGCATAGTGACACCCGAGTCAAAACAAAAAATAAACATTAGGTCATGCGGCATATCGACCAACAGGATGCCAAATACCATGGCATCTGAGCCTCCAGGTCTTTACAATAATGTGGGACGTTAAAAGAATTCTCATGCTTTGTCCTGGGAGACCCAAATCACTTCATCACAACGTGGCTGTTGAGTGTGAAATCATGAAACCCCGCCTGGCATGATTGTACCATTTTTTTTTTTTTTTTGATGCACACAGCATAGGGCACCTTGGTCTTCTTAGATTTTATGATCTCTTTAGGCTTCTGTGGAAATGCCTATGTGTTATTGCAGGGAATAGTCACATGTTTTCACAGATGCAAGCATGGTGGTTTAGAGAAATTCTGAGTGCCCGCAAGCCGATGATTAACATCTGGAGTTCAGGCCTGCCTGACCTCAATCTCAGGGACCATTCTTTCCCTTAGTAGACTAGATACTGCTCCTTGAATTTGAATATTCATGACATTACAGATTTTAAAAAAGAGAGAGAGAGAAAGAGGAAATCGCATATATATGGAAAGTTGGATATATATAACACAAACCTTGTCAAAATCCAGGCGGCGGTAGTTGTCTGGGCGTGTTTCTGGGTCATCTATTCTGCTGAGCTATACATACGTTTCTTTGCTAGTACTCCGCCATTTCTGTCACTATGGCTCTGTAGTATAACTTGAAGTCTGGTGTAATTTTTTCTTTGCTCCTTCAGCATAGTTCCTTTTGCTCAGGGTGGCTTTGGCTTATCTGGGCTCTATTTTGCTTCTATGAGTTTTAGGATTTCTTTTCTCTTTATGTGAAGACTATCATTGAGATTATGATAGGAATTCCATTGAATCTACAGATCAAACTTGATAGTATAGCCATTTTCTCAATATTAATTCTGCCAGCCCATGCTCATGGGCAGTCTTTCAGTTTTCTAGCCTCTTCTTCTATTTCTTTCTTTGGTGTCTTACAGTTTTCACTGTAGAGATTTCCATTCCCTCCATTGGGCTGATTCCTATCTATATTATTATCATTATCATAAATGGGGTTGTTTTCTTGATTTCTTTCTCAGTGTATTACTTTTTAGTGTATAGGAAAGGTACTGATTTTCATGGGTTGATTTTGCATCATGCTACTTTGCTGTACATGTTTATCAGTTCTTAGGGTTTGTTTTTTGACACACTCCCTAGGGCTTTTTATTCATGAAAGACATTGTTTGTTACAAATATGTGAAAAATACACATTGAAGAAAAGAAAGCCTCTTCGACAGCAGTGCTGGGAAAACTAGGTATCCGTGCCAAGGGAACAGAACTAGATCCCCATCTCTCACACTGCACAAAAATCAATACAAAGTTGTCAAAGGAACTTTATTTATGTAAACCCTGGAGCCCCAACTCTGTCAGAACAGAACACAGGGACGGTGTGTCAAGAGAGAGGTATGGGAAAGATTTTCTGAGAAGGACTGGGGCAGCTAAGGAAACAAAATCAAGAATGGACAAATGATCGTCTGAAGTTGAAAGGATTCTGC